ATGTTAACCAATGTAATTAAATTCATTTCAATTGCTAAAAGTCGTTTATTGTCAATATTATTGCAAACATATAAATTTATATGAAGAGAGATATTTAATGATATTTGCAGCTGCTTTTGTCTTTTGATGACAAAATCAATGTAACAGTTGGTTTATCATCATTATCATCAATTGGAAGTCCATCTGACCCGAATAGACAACGACGAAATACAAATTACTATGATGATTTCTTTTTTTTTTCATAAATGTCGACAAAGCAGCGCACAGCTGTTGAGAAGAAAGCGAAAAAATTGATATGAATTCTTTTCTTTTTGGTTAATTTTATGGTAAATTTTCACCTTGAAACGACGTCAGTCCAATTTTTTTCACCCCGAATCAACATCGTCTGTCCGTTGTTTTATATAAATAGTCAATTTTTCGTCGTACAATCAAACAAACCAACATTTACACATCAAATGTTCGATTCAATGATCAACAATTCGCAAAGATATGAAGAATATCAAGGAGATCGTCTTGGAAATCTTGGAATTAGTTCAAATTATGAACCAACAATAACTGTGATCGTTCAGTGGACACCAGAATTTGGTCAAGCTTATCAACAATTTGTTAATAGTGGAATGGGAACAATGAACAATTATGGAGGATATGGAATAGGAATTTAAAACATCAATGTAATAACAAACTTGAAAATCTTTCGACAAGGAGAAAAGAATATTTATACTTTATTTTCATTTCCATCGAAAATCTTTTTTTATCAATAAAAAAATTGCGGAAATTTCGTATTTTATTCACGAGCTATTTTGTGTATTATAGAGAAATGATAGACATTTCCTATTGAATGTTGATTACATTCATTGAAATATTTTCATTTGAAAAAGTTCTTCGATTGTTGAAAATGATATCTTTGGGAAAACTAAATATTACTTTTCTATACACCTTTTTTCAGAGTGGAAAACAACCGTAGTGTGTCAATTAAATTAGACGTACACGATTTACGTGCAAAAAAAAAGAAACACAATATTAAAAAAAATAGTTGTTTTCATTGATTGGTCTTATTCGTTGGTTATTCTTTGATTAATTAAGAATAACCCAAGATCGTTTGAAGAATTTCTTTAATGACAAAGATATTTGACACTTTTCAGAATGTAATGTAAACTTAATAATCAATAAAGATAAAGAAATTGGTCTGTGTGAATGTAGTAATGATGTTACATATCCAACTGATTGATTATCTTATTGATCAATCACATAAATGAATTGCATATAATGATTCTCAAAGAAAATTATCTCGGACTAGATCTTAAAATTCTTTTTAAATGATCATAATCGATGTTATTTTGTTGAAAATAATGTTGCAAGTGTATTGATCGAGTCAAACAGGAAATTTAGTGACATAAAAATCTAATCGATAATGATTCAGCGGTCGGAATGTTCAAAATGATAATGTTGTAGGAACGATTGTTTTTCTTAATTGATCAAATGGATATTATTGAGATTTTATTTCTGTTTCTGTTCGATCGATAATTCTACTATTGATAATTTATCATTTTTTTCTCTCATTGTTTAGGAATAGACTACAATAAAGTCTTTTCGTTTTCACTAAATATTGAAACATTAGATGAGAATTTTCTTTTGTAAATCTGCAACATTATCATCTCAATCGCTTTTCATTGACGAAACTTTGTGTATAATATTACCTTTCTTCATGTGTTTCTGATGTTTATCAAATAACATATACGATATTTTAGCATCTGATTCGAGTTCTTTTTTTTTAGAATTTATCCATTCTGCTCTATCGACTTCAATGATAAAATGTTTCATTTTTTTACCTCCATCTTTCTGAAATTAAGTAATTCAAATTTGATCTCATAAGTAACGAAACAATCACTAAGAAAAGAATAACAGTCGCAATAAATTAATCTCATTCGGAAGAAAAAACACACCCTCAAGATTTTCTTCCAACAATAACACTTTCTCCTACACTACAAAATTCTGAAAAGATCAATAAAAAGAAAATTTTTCTCTTTCATATATAACAACAAGAAAAAATAAAAATTGTCGTAATGATGGAACATGTCAAAATACAAATATTTCATCATTCACTTATAATTGCACATGTTCTTTGAAATTTTATGAAATCATTTGTCGATCATTATCATTGAATAATTCATGTGAATGTCTTAGAAATAATTATTTTGATCGTTTATGTGAAGAAACATTGAAAAAGATTGTTATTTATCGAATTATTTCCAAATCTTCAGTAATTGTCGCAATTCTTACAATATTTATCAATGAGAAGAAGAACAGTTCTGAGAAAGAAAATCTTGTTGTCAATATGTTAACAAATGGATTGAAATTTGATGTAGATGCTCTCATTTATAGCGAAATCTCATATTTAATCGATTGTTCATAACAGAGAATATGAATGATCATCTGACTACTCTTTACATTTGTATTACTCTCAATGATTAATATTATCTGATAGACTTGATAAACCAGAGTACGTCATATTTGAATGAAACAAAAAATGATATAGGAAAATTATGCACATCAACACTTTCATGTTTATCTACGTGTTGAGTATGTTTTATACTCATTAACTTGTTTTCAGAAATATNAGCAACTGTCGCAATACAAGACGTATCGATTTATGAAGTCTTTACCTCAAATCGTTATCGCTGGCCATTGTTGACCAGTATAGCATTAAAATGATATAGGAAAATTATGCACATCAACACTTTCATGTTTATCTACGTGTTGAGTATGTTTTATACTCATTAACTTGTTTTCAGAAATATATGTTTGTTTCTATCCGCACGTGTTTAGTCATAATAGAGAAATAAGTAATCGTCAAATTATATACTAAAGAGTACAGTGTGTCCCAAACCAATAGGTACGATTGAAAAAGTGATTATATTAGACAAATTCCTTCATATACAATGAGTGTAAATGAAGGTAAATTTGATATTATTTAAGATAAACGATTATTTCAATCTTTTTAACGAATAAATTCATTGATGTGAAGATTTTTCATCGGACGCTGGTGTAGTTGAAGGTCGTGAAAATAGTTCATCCGAATTAAAAAAAAAGTTATTTATTGATAATGTCGATGCGAACAATCAACTAGTACTTATGAAGGAAATCATATAGGGAATATGATAGCAGAATGGATCCAACGTAATGAAAAAGATATTACAACTCTCTATTATTCTCCACATTTTGACAAACCAGAAAAAGTCATTTGTGATTGTGATAGTCGTAAACTTCATATATTACCAAATTCAAATCATTGAAAATTAACGTAGGTTGTGGCGTCAAAAGACAAAATACCAGAAAATACAGTTATAAACGTGAATATGCAGTATCCGAGATGATCTCATGTTGGATGAACGGGTGATATGAAAATGATTGGCAAAATTCTCTTTGAAAAAAAACGAGTCTTTTTTATTCAGATTTTGCAACGAAATCCTACAGAAAATGTCAACAAAAAACAAAGAGAAAATAATGTAAATTATTTATTCATATTTAACGATTAAATAATATGTCGCATCGCCAAATTCGTCGTATGTTGTATAGTTTTGAAAATTGGTGTGTTTCGAATGCCCAAATGCATTGTCAAATGATTGACGAAGGATGTTTAATGGTAAATTATCATCGATGAACTCGTATACTTCAAAATGAAATCGTTCAATGTGTTCAAGTCGACTGAGTTCAGTTTGGCAAAAAGTGAGCAGTGAAATAATCGTTGCGATGACCTTTTATATCTGAAAGTCTTCAATTGAGGACAAACGCGAAGCAATGTCGAAAGTTGTTCAGCAATATGAAGATTATTTTGAAAGAATTCGAGATTTAAATTAGTGATCAATGTTGTCGAACAAGATATCTCGTCGAGAGAATTAAATAATTAAGGGTGTGGGTGAGGGTGAGGGTGTGGATAGGAGAAGATTCATATCCATCTTCAAGATTAAAATAATTTAACAATACTAAATAACTTCCGGATTGACAAAAATTCATCATACATCCGATGAGTTCGCGTCATTAGAAATTTCTGTACTAACACCATATTCAGAATATCTTCGAAATTGACATATCAACAAACATCAGTCATGTACACAAAAGACAACAGGAATTAAATAATAAAAAAACACTTCGATCACTATCCGATGTCTTTACATGAAATCCACCAAAACCATTGTGACGCCTTCAAAAGGTTACGAGAAATAACTTTAAAACGAAAACATTTTCTTGTCATTTTTTGATAACGGAAGTAAAAATCTGTCTTGAGATGAAAAACACGCAGAACGAAAAAATATTTTTCGTTCTATCGTGTTTAAACGCTAAAGACGAAGAAAGATTAGTCAATGGAGATAACGAAGTGATTTTTTTTTATTCAAATCATCTTGCTCTTCTTCGAATAAAGAGAATTAATTTTTTATTTGAATTAATGACGAAAAAAGAAACTCAGAAAACGGGTGGCAAAATTATCAATATTATTGTTACTCGCGCCAGAATATTCACCCATTGGTAATTGACTATTATAAAAGCCACCGGGCGCATGACTTGCATATGCCGTTCCATATGTTGGTTGCATTCGTAGAACATTACCACGAGCAGCATAAAGTGGATGTTCATTATTGCTATGAACATAATTCTGTAATTGCGAAGCAACTTGATGATATTGCGAAGCTATGTTTACATTCATTCCAGTCGGGACACTCATTGTAAATAATATTATTTGTGAAAAAAAAGATCAAATGAATGGATGTGCTCGGTCGAATGTTTCAATTTATACCAATGCAAAAAGGAAGAAAACGAAAAATATTTTGATTAAGTAGATGTCATTAAAAGTATAAAAAAGAGGAAGTAGACGTTAAACTATGATTCATTAATGTCAAAATCAATTTTCAATTATCATTGATTGTCTCTTTCAAAAATTAATTAATGTTCAATAGAAACAACATTCATACTCGAATGAAAACGATCAATACTATTCCAACTTTGTAAACCATATACGTTGTTATACTTTACAATAAGCGATAGTTTTACCTATTGAAATTTCATCTCGAGTATCAAAAACTATGAACTGTTAGTGTAAAAATATCGATTTTCAGAGCAAATAGTTGAACGATAAAATAAACCTCTAAGCATATTGGAAGATTCTAAGAAAGAAATGATGAGATGAGTTTTAAAAAATTGTAGTAGAACACATGGATCTTTTTATATGCTTGAAGCTTTAAGCAAAACCATTCCATCGTTTCTTTTATGTATTCATTCAAACGGTCATGAATGTGACAAATAAAATCTCAAGAAAATATAAAACATAATCGTGAAACATGTCAGGGTCTTTAACGGCAACGCTTGTGTTGTCGATAATGGCTCTAATGTGATACCTTGCGCATCTTTTGACCAATATACATTATTATTTAGCAGTTCACTTTTATCAAGTTTCATAAATTCGACACATGATGAAACATAATGTTGACAGTTCTGTCTGAACATGGAAAACCTTATTGTCCGTTCAGATTACTTTGTTCGGCGAACAGTTTGATTTGTTCTATAGTTCTTTTCCGACAAATGCCGAGTGGTTGATAGTAAATAGTTTTTTGTGGATAAAATTTGTAAGGACCAAAGATAATTTTGATCGTTCCGAATCCAAAATTAGATGAGTCTAAGTCTGTATAATAGAATTCATTATCACGCCATGATTTGAGTAATAAGACATGATGGGTGATATGTCGATCGGGAAAATAAGAATTTTGATGTAGAGCTTTGAATAAAAGATAAACTTCAATCTCATCTTTTTCGTCATGTAAATCAGTCATGGCAACATTCGATGACTCGTAGAACTGCTTTCTTGAAATTCGCATACAATAGAACCATGTTATGTAATCACACGTTGTAGAAGAACAAGAACAGCGAAGGAGTTATAGAGTACAAATGATAGCATTTATTTTTTTTCTCGCTTTATGCGTTTATGTAACGAGCGTCTCTGAATAGATAAATCTTTTTTTCGTCGTTCTTTTCTTACCGGAACGAGGAATAAGTCATACATATTTCTTTTCTTTCTATTCGTTCTTCATTCATCTCGAAGGACAGTTCTGTTTGTGTGCGAACAAACACACAGTACTATCGATATTCTGATGAGTCTCGTAGTCGCTCTCGTATGTTTACCATGTGCTGTCATTCCAGCAGTGATGTACATCAAGAATCTTGATTACTATCTTGAACCTCGGACAAAAACTGATATTTCTCCTCAAGCAGTTTCCATACTCATTCCTGCGAGAAACGAAGCTGCTGGAATAGCTGATGCGATACGAGCCGCTCTCGCCACATGCGACATCGAATTCGAAGTAGTTGTCATGAACGATGGATCGACCGATGGGACCGATCGTATTGTACTCAATCTCGCCGAAAATGATAAACGTGTTCGACTAGAAAACGCTCCATCGCTTCCCCCTGGTTGGAACGGAAAACAGCACGCATGCTGGTGCCTTGCTCAGACTGCTCGGAATCCAATTCTTTGTTTCGTCGATGCCGATGTTCGCTTACGGTCCGACTGTATTAGTCGGATGGCTAATTTTCTTGATGGTCAATCACTTGTCAGCGGTTTTCCACAACAAATCACCGAAACTTTTCTGGAATGGATGTTACTTCCGTTAATACATTTCCTCTGTCTTGGTTTTCTTCCCATTTCTCGAATGAGAACGACAACAGAACCTGAGACAAGTGCTGCCTGTGGTCAATTCATAATGACGCGTGCAGATGATTATTTTACTTGTGGTGGACATAGCGGCATCAAGTTAACCATGCACGATGGTCTTCGTCTACCGCGACTTTTCCGAACAGCTGGTTTTAAAACCGATCTCGCTGATCTTACGAATTTAGCTAGTTGTCGAATGTACACGTCTGCCAGTGAAGTGTGGAATGGACTTGCAAAAAATGCTACTGAAGGTCTTGGCTCTCCGACATTGATTATTCCTACAACGGCATTACTTTTTCTCGGACAGGTTCTACCGTTTATGAATTTAGGATCTCTTATCTATCAGCAGATCAATAATTCATCAACTTCTTACTGGTTTCATTTGTATTCTACGATTACTCTGATTTCTGTCGTTTCTGCTTATCTACCTCGCATTCTTGGAATAACTCGTTTTCGTCAAGACTGGCGTGGAGCAATTTTACATCCATTTGGCATCGTACTACTTCTAGGAATACAATGGTATGCTTTCGGCCGTAAAATCATCGGTTGCAAGACAAGCTGGCGTAACCGAGCGTATGTATAAAAATCAATTTTTTTGTATAATGAACCGAACAAAACGATATGTAGGTAAATGATCAGTTTTTCTAAATTAACATTTGTTTTTTTCCCTTCGATGAAATCTTTTAAAAAAGAATATGATGAACAGACAATGCTAAACAAGTGATAATTAACCTTTGATAGTGGTTCGATTAGATTCAATGCGAATGACGAATATCAAACCAATTGTCTTGTGGAACCTTGTTTTTCTTTTTGAGAAATTTAAAATAACATCCTATTTATCTAATGCTCGCATCAATCGCGAAAACAATGTTAACACACAATTACACGTGGAACAAAAAAAAACGTTCGATCAGTTTCTTCTTTCTGCTCGCATACACACTATGAACACGTATTTAATCAATCAACGCATTGTGAATGTATTTCTATGTTGTCCTCGTTCGAAAACTACGAGTTCAGAGACAAAATGCTTTTCAGAAAAGCGTGTTTTAGTAAACAAAAAGAAAATATTCTATTTGAAAGCATACCATAGCTCCTTGACCACCACACTATGACTATGATTTACTTTGTACTTTCAAGTTACCGTCTAGGCTCTTATCTAGTCGAAACTGAACAAAACGTTAAAAATCAAGAATAAACTTTCATTTTATTGAAAAGTCGAGATATTCAAACAACAAAAGCTTGGCAGAATTGTTGTTCAATTTAAAAAGTAAAGGTGAAAACATGAATTATGTGTAAGCATCTCACTTTTCATTTTTATCATCTTTCTTCTAGAAATCATATGAAATGGAAAGACTATCATAAAAGTACGACCATCTAGACTGCAAAATGTGCGCATGTTTGAGTCCACTAGAACATCATTCATAAATGGAATAAACAAGTATGTGTTATGACGTGCATATCCCTCAGCCGTATCACAGGTCTTTTAATGAAAGACAGTCACAGTATATGACGAAGAAGAAGAATGTTTTCTCATCAATATTTTCCTCTCTCTATAGTGACGTCCTAGAAAACAACATAATCTTTTAACACTATATTTCGCTTGTATGGTATTATATTATTACAGTAGGTTATGTATAACTATAAAAACACTTCATTACACTTATCATATTATTTTCCTCTTTTATCATTTTGAAGTTTTCATACTTCTCTCGAACTCTAATTGGTTTAATGAATTCTGTCCTGCATTTTAGTTTCCCAACCTAAACCATTAAGAACGTTTGTATGAAAATGAAAAAAACGCCAAACATGATTAGATCTCCCTACTTGGAGAAAGTATTACAAGTCAAACGGATAAAATCTGTAGATTTCCAGAAGAGAATACAATAAGTTAGTTTTTGGATCTTATAGTCTCTGAATGTCACGTAGATGACGTGTGGTAAATGTGTGTCTATAACAATTTTAGTTCTACTACTCGGAACCTATCTACTCTAAAATTTTATGGATTTTTATTTGAAGGTTTGTGAGAAATGTCTGAAAAGGAGAGATATATTCCCTTAAATTTATTCTCCACGACAATTTGTTAGCTCCAACCATAGGAACATCAGCGACAGAGAACGAAAGAGAGAAGAATCGAGAAAAAGTGACCTTCGTGGGACTCGAACCCACACCTTCTGCTATCCGGGCAGATGTCCTAATCCAGTTAGACTAGAAGGACCATCTTAATCTCTTGTCTAGCGTTGTGTGATTCATCACAAACGCTAACACAATTTGATTCATTAAATCAAATTTAATAATAGGATAGGACGTTTTCTTGTTCAAAGCTGTGTATAATGAAATCATATTAATATTTAAATTCACATGCGTAGAATCTGCTACGACGTTCTCGACGATTTCTTTTCTATCATGATTATGGAATAGTAAGAACTTTGCTTGAGCATTCGACTAATTCGATCTGGACATAAACATTTTCCCCGATCAGATGTTGTTTAACTGATTGAACTTGAAAAGCAGATAATGGTAGAATCAACACTTCTTGCTCAATTTCAAATTCAGACATTGAATCAATTCGTAGAGAAGTGTTCTCATTAATGATTGTATATTTACAAAGAACGCTAGATTGAATTACTTGGTCGTCTATGGTTCGCCGCATATATTGTGCATCACCCACTCCAGCAAAGATACTCGCCAATACAGGATTAAGACTAGTGGAAAGAAATGTTTTGGTCAATAAGCGTTTACCAACAGCATAATCTGAAAGTTCTTCCTGAGTCATAAGAACGCCTCGATAGGTAGTGCCAGTAAAATGATACTCCTGTAAATCTGAATGATAGATCAAAATTGACGCAAGATATTCAATGCATGTTTCTAACGTATTAGGACGTAAAGAGATATCACGCCAACGAAAAAGACGTAGAATATTATCTGCAAAATGATTGTTAACAAATGAATGAAATTTTGTAGCTGATGTATATGCTTTGAGAATGTATTTCACATCGTTGTGCAGGATTGCTTGGTTGAAGAACCATAGGATATGCTCTTTCTGTTTCAGTGAAATATCTGTATTGTAAAATTCGCCAATTATGTAATGGTCTCTTAAAAAGCAAAACATCTGTGGAATTGATTGTTGAATGACTAATACTTTATTAAGATTATCCTTCCATTGCTCTGCTTCCTTAGATACAATAGTCCATTCCTTAATCCCAGATTTACCAACAAAACGATGGTCAAACACGTGCGATGTTGATAGTTGAACACGGAAAAATAATTTCCGGATATCACTTCCAGCTTCTTGATAAGGCGTCAATTGATACAGACGATTACGTATAGAACGACATGCTCCAGCTTCTAATAAAAGTTTGACGATCTCAGGATGTTTAAAATAGCATGCTGCATGCAAAGCAGTACTGCCATTAGGTTCAATTCGATTGATTTCATCAAGCGACAGTGACAATAAGAGTTCTCGTACTTTTTCTGTGTTACCACCACGACATGCCTCATAAAAAGCACTTTTAGGAGTTCTCGCAATCGGTATGATTGTTGCCGATTCAGAATAGATAGCTTCTGGTTGTTTGGAACTACGACAACAGCTGATTAGTAGATTGCCCATGAATGATACTTTTATCTAAAATAGTACAAGCAGAATTAGTAATAAGCATATGAAACAGAAGTTGTTTCATAATCTGTATATGTCAGCCCATTTGAGTAAATACATAAAAATGATCACGGCTAGGGATGCAACGGTAACGGTTATTCACCGCTTCACCGTATACGGTTAACCGTTCCAAAACGAAAACCGATCTAAGAGTAAGAGCGATTAAACGAAAACCGGCCTAGGAGTAAGAGCGATTAAACGAAAACCGTTAAGAGAGAAATAGTGATTAAACGACAACCGTCTCAAAAGAAAGACCGATTAAACGAAAACCGGTATGAACGACAGACCAATTAAACGAAAACCGTTCCAAAACATATTGTTTAACAGCACAACCATTAGCACCTGCCATCATTATACCGCTTTTTCGTTCCGGGCGGTTTTCGTTTAATTGGTCTGTCGTTCATAGCGGTTTTCGTTTAATCGGTCTTTCTTTTGAGGCGGTTGTCGTTTAATCGCTATTTCTCTCATAACGGTTTTCGTTTAACCGCTCTTACTCCTAGGCCGGTTTTCGTTTAATCGCTCTTACTCTTAGGCCGGTTTTCGTTTAATCGCTCTTACTCTTAGGCCGGTTTTCGTTTAATCGCTCTTACTCTTAGGCCGGTAATTGCTACCGTTGCACCCCTAATCACGGCTGAATGGGTTTTTTATTCGTCAACTAGAAATCACTTCACATCATCTTTTCGTTTTCCATAGTTCTTATAAAGTCAGACAAAACAATATCACAAGCATCATTAAGAGACATGCTACTATCGATCGTATTTGATTGATTATTTGATGCTGGAGTTGTTGATGTGTGATGGTAAGTGTATGCGATGATGCAGCATGTCCCGCATGAATTTGAATTTATCATTTGATGAGTCTGATTCAGATCCGGTAGGATCCAAGTTATCTGATCAGGTTCAAATAATTGATATAAAGACGTGTCTGAATCAGTAGTGGCGGTTTTTTCTGGAAAGAACTTTAATAAAAGTTTACCATGAAGTATGCGAATCATTGCATAAACCCCATGGTAATGACGAATAGGACTCAAATGACCAGTTGGCCATATTTCAATAACAGATGAGTATTTTGACTCGAGATCTTGCGCTTCATTTGCATTAACTCGTAATGCAATTTTTCTCAATGAACATCCGGGTGCTTTACCATGTTTTTCTTTTAGTTTTCGAAAACACCAGCCGTCTTCGTTGCGTAAACTTTGTTCTATGATCTTTGTCAAACCAGTACATTGATTCACATCAAAGTTCAATTTGATTATTAGATTATATAAGTGTAAGCATGGATCCTTTGAAAGATTAATGTAGAATCCATCGTTTGAAGCAGGATATGTAGGAGAAAAATTGTCTTGTGCAGTAATTAGAAGAGGTGGATCAAATAGAATTGGTTCTTCACCTACGATTATTCTCATAATATCATCAAATGCCCCCTAAAGAAACAACACATTGAACATCAAATATTTCATGCTACAATAGATAATACAGTCTAAAAGATAGAGTATTCTGAATCCGATAGGTGTCTAACATGCTTTTCGCTGATTATTTTTCATCTATTTCTATAGTATCGTTCCCAATATGATGGTGCGCGATGGAAAGTCAGCCGGTGAGCTGAACGAATCCGCGTCGTCACGTCTCATTGAAGTACAATGAAAGATTTCGATCCATTCAAATCAAGACGATACATTTCTGCACCATTGAATTTAAATTCTATGCCGATATTCATGATTAGAATTTGTGCCAGGTACGTTGACAAATACATATATTCAAAAAGCATTTCTTTTTTTTTCAACTAACCAATACAATATCAAAATTGCGTGATATAGGCAAAGTTCGTTTCAATATACTTTGTGAGCTAAACATTTATTTCATCCTAATGGAATCTCTGACGAAAACTCTTTTGATATTTTCGAATATAAGATACTTTAGCATTATACATCGTTAATCAAGTAAAAGAATAAACAGAAAACTTACTTCTGTCCAAACATTCATTTTATATTTGATATTGAAGTGTACATATTCTGCTTCTTCTAAGACAACTTTTTCGTGTTCATCTAGTTCCTGTTTCATTGTACTGAATTTTGGTTGTACCTCACCTCGACCATATTGAATAATTCGATACGCACTAGAGAAAGTAAGCCAGTAGCTGTGCCAATCACCATCATATTTTTGAAGAGTTGCGTCACGCTCCTTAGTATAGCAAAGATCAGTTGCAGGTTGTGTATCTTGTGGATAGATCGTACTAAGCCGTACTTGATCGGTATCGACCGCCATTATTACAGCGCGAGTACTTGGATGAATATTGTTGAGATCATTCATATTGGAAATTATTAAACGAAATGGAATTGGGTAAAGTTGCTGGATTACAAATGTTCCTTGTCCTTTAGTCGGTAATTTAAGTGTCCAATCTTTCGTTCGCCAAGGACTCCAAATATTTTCTGGTTGATAGAAAGTTTTGATTTTGTCATGGAAAAGGCAATGTATTCTATATCTGTGCATTTTTTGTAATACAGTCAAGTCGGTAATCAAAACATGCTGCTCTTCTGTTAATCGCGTGTCATCATCAAAATATTCGAGTAAAGTATCATACAATTTGATTGGATCATCGAAGACACCGCGAATCTTTCGGTGAGAAATTCTCAATGATTCATACTTTTCTTTCTTACCACAGTACAGAAATATCCAACGGAGTTGTGAAAGATCATAACCTAAACGAATCATTCCTTCATAGAGACGTCCAGATGAGATCAGAATGACATCTTTTCTTAACGCTGTCTGCATAAGAAAGTTTTGAAATTCTTCGCATTTCTCAGAAAACATCCATTGCTGTTGAGAAACATTCCGTTCATAGCAAAATCGTTCTTTACACTTTTCGTAATCAATAGAGTTTGCATCCAACCAAAAGTAACATAGATTTTCAGGTTTGATGTTCAAAGACCATAATTCTACATTATGAAGCGACGGGGCACCAGACATGTGAAATTATCTGAAAAGAAGCAATAACCAATCAGGCTATTTATCTAACAAAAATGCAACATCGGTAAACACAGCTAAGTGTACATATTTTACTCTGCTGATCGAGTGTTTCCCTATGAAATGATATGATTTTCAAAAAAATTACATTCTTTCTCGATATATGGCAATGTTTTTAGGTGTACAATTCAGCACACTGTGACGGTCAGTTAAACTTGCGAGCACACTTGTACATAGTTGTCGATTAATTCGTGATATTGGTTGCACGCCGAATTTTTTACGCTAATCTTTATATTATTATGATCAGCAGGTAAAGTACGACGATAAGTTTCCAATGCTCGCTGATGATACTGATGCGCTTTGTCAGGATTGTTCATTTGAAGAAAAAGAATGCCCATACTACTCCAACAATAAGCGATACATGGATGATCTTCCGGAAGAATATTAAGAAAGATCAATTCAGCTTTTTCATACAATTCCAAAGCTTTGTCTGTCTTTCCTTCTCTTCGATAAACATTACCCATTTCATTAAAAACTATTCCAATACGTTGATGATTATTGGGTAGATTATTTTTGAGAATTTTCATGGCATTTTCATAAGACTGAATTGATTCTACATACCTAGATTTAATCAGAAAATATTCACCCATATAAATATAAGTTTGAGCGTTCACTAAATCATTAAGACAGTTCTTCCCGCTACATATTGACTCAGCCATTTTATAGTACCTCATTGCTTCATCCAATTGTCCGCTATCTTGATATACATGCCCTAAACCATTCATTATTCGAACCATATTTCTCCAATTACGATGAGAATTCTGTTGCAATTCGAACGCTTGTTGAAAGTGGCGTTCAGCCAGATGAGTATCTTTCTGGTAACTATGAGTTAGTCCGAGATTATAATGGTACGCAGCTAGATTATGTTTTTTCGAATCATGGACACGATTTATGAGCCTGTCAAAATAGTGCTGTGCTATAATGTGTTTTCCCATGTCCATTAATAGTGTTCCAAAGATGACTTCTTCGTCTGTTTCATTCAGTTCTTGTTCGATCAGTTTCTTATAGTCTGAAAAAGCTTGAGAACCATCACTAGTACTAGTAGCGTTAATATAATAAATACCAGTATCTTTGTTCAAAACTACATCGTCGATACGGAAAGCGGTTCCTACGTTGAAAAGTATTTCTTCTTCCTCTTGATTTTGACAAATAGATGTAGTATCAGCAAAAGTAATATCATTAGTGCGAATGTCAATTTTAATGATCCACAATACTAATTTCACATTGGCACGTCGACCGGAACTATGTCTTAGAAACTCTTCAGCTACCGATCGTTGTCGACTAGTAGAAACAAAACCGTTAATACTGGCCATGCCGTGAATAATATGTTTCAATTTTTCTACTTCGTCATCAGTAAGTCGACATCCTCGATAGACCGTCATTATCGGTGATTGTTGTTCCTCGATCATTTTCTTCCTTAATTTCTTCCATTCAACAGACAACTGTCGACAGAGATCGGAAATGAAGCACCGAAATATATTCAGAATATCGATGTTGTCCATACGTAGAACAGAATTTATTATTTTATAGACAAATGATTCCCGCGTATACCAGAGCAATGCTTGATTAGGTTCGTAAGTTCTTTCGAATTCATCAATATCTTTAAAAATTGATTCTTTATTAGCATCCTGGGCAAAATACTGTCGGCAATATTTCAGCATTTGTTTCATATCATCATCATCATATTGCGTGTTCATTAGTGTGCTTCGTAAAAGTTGAAACCAAAGAAATGAAGCAGCATCATAAGTCAAATCACGAATTGCATTTTGACGTTGTGTAAAACAGTTCAAAGTATTTGCACCTGGATAATAATGCTTCAATTCAATTTTCAGACATTGCTGTAACTCTTTTTGACTAGTGTACACACCGGTAACATAAGGAGAATATTGTTGGATAAAGTCTATATATCTTTCTGCTTTATTACAATAGATAAAGACAGAGTCGAGTATATGCAATTCTGATCTATAGAACAAGATTTCGGCGCTGAGTCTGCCAGAAACGACGAGAAATATACGAGCTTTATTGTTCGTGATAGTACGCAATGCATTGTAACAGTTTTGTACATCATCGAAGAAAAATACTGAAGACTGAATGCTATACAACATGGATCTCGTTGACTTTATGTCGGTTGAGTCACTGTTAACATTTGCATCGAGCCATACTATTGTAATACCATCAGGTACGAGTAGGGGTGGATTAATAATAGGTACCAGAAGCACTTGTTTCTCATCTGGAAGATTGTCTGATATTGTTGACACATCTGTTTTCCTACCACAACAAATTAAAGTCTTCAGGCCACACATATATCCGTACATGTGGTTATTGATTATACAGCAATGGCTAGATAAGTGAAATGAAGATGTTACTTATCAATGTGTTAGCTAAAAACTTTTTTACTAAATAAGTCCTGTCCCCGAAAATTATACTATTCGAATCAGAATTAAATTCTGATTCGAATGGTCGTGTTTCTACTCACGGGACAAACTTTGGAAAAATTTTATTTGGATCATAAACAGACCTACCCGGGTCAACAAGTCCGATGCTGTATCCGATTGGATTCCTAGAAACGGAATTGCATTGGAATCCGACTAGGAAAATTCAGTCGGTTATTGCAAATTTTATGAGCGATGTTTTTAAAGCTATATTCTATGATGGCCCTTAGAAAATCAGGAAAATTCATGCTTCGGATCCGTCGAACTCCTGTAGGATCCGAGTACGGGATCGATCGACCTGGGTATCGGAGGCAAACAAAGATATATGTAAACGTTTTCCCAAAGTTTGTCTCGTGAGTGGAAACATCAACATTCGATGCAGAATTAAACTCTGAGCCGAATGGATTAATTTTCAGAGGCGGGACTTATTTAGTAAGAAAATTTTTAGCTAACAAATCGTTTGTTCGCACTAGCTTCACATCGATATGTTACATTTTCTATGAATTGGATAAGGATGTAAGGTTGTAGAACAGTGATACCTGCATTCTTATCGATCTCATCCATCCCTAGCTATCCACATACTCAACATTATTGAGTGACTTTTTTAGACATTGATCAGGAACTATCAGCCGTATATCATTTTAGACAACTTTATTCATCAGATGAACTTTGCCATTCTGAACTTCTTAACAAAATTTTTAGCAATCCTCCTTTTGATGTTTGAAATAACAGAGTGATTAGAAAAGTAATTTTCCTAACGCCAGTATTTATTATTCCTGAGTAAGAATGTTTATAGTTATCTTCGAACTATCCACTATCATAACATCTAGAGCGACTAATCAACTCTGAGCTAATTGCACTTGCAGATGATTCTATCTGTTAATATTATACAAGATACTTACCAGTTTTAATATTTTCAAAGAAAATTAATTCTGTTCAATCATTCATCACCGTTAAATCTAGCTACAATGAAGTTGACCAGCCATGCAATCATCTTAGTCTTGCGTACAAGGCAACGTTGTGAACATCTAGAATGCATGACACAATAACTACTTCATTGATTAATCGAATTCAACTCAATAACGCGTTTTATAGGAAGTCATAAAAAGAGCAAACATAGACATGCATTTGAAAAGATAATATTACGCAGTATATTATAAGATCGCACAGCAGCATTTTTGCTTCTCCGCTTTGGCTTTCTCGCCATCAAGTAAAGGTTCAGTCATTGCCGTAGTGTACTTTTCTCTGAAACAAAAGAAAACAGATGTTATACATTGCCTACAGTCAATTATGAACTCAAGATCAAGCTACATTGCGCAAAAGAACACTGCTGAAAAAATCAGGTGTGTTGCTTTTTACTACAGTGCTATCACAGTCCTTATAATCACATTATTTGTCGTAACACCTTCGTTTTCCAAATAGTCCCTGGACAGATTGTCAACAAGCTGCTTGGTGCACTTTGAAGTTGTAATTTTCGTTGACACAGAATATCTTCCTGTATATTATGCTCAATAGAGGAACTTACTGTGTTTGCTTTTGTCGTTTGAGCACTTTGTCGCCAGATTCAGGCTCACTTGATGTCCGTGAAGTTTCAAATGGTAATGAAGTATTACTAGAAAATTGAAAGAAATAGTTTTCAACCGATTCTTTGATTATAAATACTTAGTCGGAATATTGAAGTTATCCTTGAATTCGAAACCAACATAGAGCTTAGGATCATACTTGTACTTTTTAGCGACTTCATCGCCGTTCATAAACATTGCACCTTGTTTCAAATAGAAATGAATCGCTGGTTGATTTACACGTCGACATAAACCACAGTAGAAAGTGCCTGGTGGGTAAACCGTGCGTAGATACTCAAGGAGACGACCACCAAATCCATGTCGTTTAAAATCGGCATCAATACAACATTGTGCGATATAAACCGATCCTTTCTCTTGATCTTTCAGCGTCAGAAAACCTATGGCATTTTGCCTATTATTATTATAAAGTGGGTCTACAGCCCATAGGATAAAACAACGGCATTGTTTTGTTATTATTTCGCTCTGCATATTATCAAATGTTTCTCGTAGCCATTGTCGAAGCGTTTTTCCTTCTTCGATCTTCAACTCCATCTCAACATGCTTATAGAAGTCGTCGAATGAATGGATGAAAAGTTCTCGTAAAACGGAAAATACAGGATCATCATTACTTTCTGGAAAGAATTCACATACTGATGTGTTGTGAAACGATGGTAAAACGAGCTGCTTTGCTTTCACTTAAACAAGATTAGCGAGATAGTACTAATGCTCTCTATTTCAGCGTTTAAAGATACTGACTTTGTGGCATTATTGATTTCGGTGACAATGTATGCAATGATTGCTGTGATTTTTGTAAACACTCATCCCACCTACCCAGATGTTTCTTTTCACCTAAATATTTTGCAAAATAATTCAGCAACACAGAATCCAAGGCGTGAACGTTGATGAGAATAAAGGTGGAATAGCAAAGGTTAAAACAAATTCTTTACTTCCTCACATTCCATTCTCAGCCTCTATCACATCCTCACTTTTAATGGAGATACTTTTTAAATCGGCGAAGATTTCTTGATTATCACTTAAAGTCAACGTCGAATCAGGATTACCTAAACAAAGAGATAGACAACCATTCGATAATCACTGGAAACCGTGATCTTTTATTGTTTATTTTAATCTTTCTCTCGTTAGGACTTACAACTAAGTGAATCAATTGTAGAAGCACCAGCACTCATAGATGATTCACGAGTTTCGTTCACATTAGTGTCATTGGCGCGACAATTAGAGTTATTTGATAAATTGAATACTGCTGGGATGGAATCAGATTGTTGCTGTTCATTCATTGCTTGCTGACGTCTGTTTAGAATCTTAAGATCCAATCTAAAATATTGAGAATGTGAGTAAATCACGTGTGTCCTCATTCGCATGAATATTTTGTCTAAGTTGCAACTTCAGTACAACATTGTAAATGATGTTTAAATATAACACTAGTAAGTATCAGGTTGTCCAAAAAGTTCGTGCAAGTGCTGTTTTGCTGCAAGTGTAAAACATATGGTGAGGGCGTAGGTGTGGGTGTGGGTGTGGGTGTGAGGGTGAGGGTATGGGTAAGTCTGAGCAGTAGGATACTACATGAAAATTTGTACTGAGATACTTCTAGGAAAGCCTATGCAGTTTTTTAAATCTGCAAGATGGTCGAAATTCCGTTGGCAAAATTCCTAGTGTCGATTTTTCAATAAACCCTAAAAATGACACATCTTGATGTTAAAATGTCATTCTTTTCTGCAAGAAGACAATGAAGTAGTTAGGTTAACATTGTTGTACCATCCTAAGAATGGATGCTCTACACAATAGTAGAAATCATATGCTTCACGTTTGCAGCAAAACAGCACTTGCACGAACTTTTTTGGAAAACATAATATCTTGGACACGGACGGATTCGACTTCTTCTTGAACGGATCACACACGAGTGTACTCCAACTCTGATCACATTTGTTCTAGGGGTGCAACGGTAACGGTGGTTCACCGTTTAACCGTAGGCAGTTAACCGGTCTAATACGACAACCGGGCCTGGTGAAAATGAAGGTAAACAATAGCCGGATTTTCTGAAAGTGAAGCTTAGCAATAACCGGCCTACGTGAAAATAAGGTTAAATAAAAACCGGGTCTCACGAGAAAGCGGTTTAACGATAACCGCTACAGATCGATTAAACGGTGAATCGATAACCATTGTGAACCGGTAACCGCTTTTCTTTCAATATCTATTTGATACAATATATGACTCTTTAGTAATACTTTTCCATATTAGTCGTGATTTGTGAAAGTATAGTATCATATAAACCTTTATGTTTGGAGACCGGTCTTAACAGATACTGAAATAGGATTTGCAATTATATGGTCGTTTCTGAATAATTCGGTGTAAGCAAACTGCAGAGATATTTTCAAAAATTCTGTTGCTCAAATGGTATAATTATCGCTGAAGTCAATATTTTATAAAAGACAGTTATCTCTTATAGAAAATATCAGTGCAAGAATGAGATATTTTGATGGAGCCCTTAGCTTCGATAGTTCTCTGGTTCATAGTACACATAGCAATGGTATCGATATTGATAGAAAAGCGGTTACCGAATCCCAACAGTTCACGTTAAAGACACAGCGGTTACCAATTAACCGTTCATACACCTCTACCGATGATTGTTAAACCTCATTCTCACTTGGTCCTCTTATTGTTAAACCTTATTTTCGCAAAACCCCGGCTTTCATTAAATCGCTTTACCACTAAGCCCGTGAAAGTGACCGCTGCACCCCTAATCTGTTCCAGGTCGAACTCAATGCGCTCCATCTATTCCAAAAGCAATATTCTAGGGCATATACTTCCTAACCCATAGAAAATGCAAAAAACCCTAAAAAACAGCAGAACTTCAGACAAACACCCAATGACCCGTTTCTACACCTTCAGCAACTATCCCAGCACTTCTTCAAGTTACAACTCGACGAGTTCTATCGATTCCAACCGTGCAAAAATTACAAACGACTCACACCCTCACCCACACCTCACCCTCACCCACACCCACACCCACACCCTGCACCCAAACTCAATCGAATCATACAATAAATGTAATAAGATCTCTGTAAATTCGTGTAGAGACAACACTCATGAGACTTTGTATATAAAAGCTGGAGTTTATGAGGATTCGGATGAGTTTGAATGTTAGGTGAGGATAGGTGAAAATTTTTTACGATTGGAATCGATAGGGCTCATCGAGTTGTATCTGGAATAAATATTGGAATGGTGGCTGGAAGTGAAGAAACAAATCCATGCGTGTTTTTCTGAAATTTTGATGTTTCTTAATGTTTTTTTACAATTTTTTGCGCGTGAGGAAGGATATTTCCCAGAATATTGCTTTTGGAATAGATAGAGCTCACTGAGTTCCACCTGGAATAAATGTGACCAGAGTTGGAATACACTCGTATGTGAATCCGTTCAAGATCTCCTACATGAAAATGAGCTCATTCAATCCAAAATTTAACTCTGCATCGAATGGATATATTTTTTCACGAGAAAATGATTGGGAAAATTTTACACGTGTCTTCGTGTCCGTTGGTACATAGAAGAGAAAAAAACCCAGATAAAATTCTCCCAGTCGTTTCCCCGTAAAAATATCAGCATTTGATGCAGAGCTAAATTTTGGATCGAATGAGCTCATTTTCATTCATGGAAATTCATTCGAACATAAGGATTTGTATAATTTTTTGTTTTCTGGTGCTAATTTCACACTGATAACTTTTTTTGTTACAAACAAAATTATCTTAACTGAAGATCATCCATCAAGATTGACAGAAGATTCAATTTTAAAACATCGTATTACTACTTGCATACCATATAGGATAAGGTCTGAACCCAATAAATATTTCTTATAGAAGAAAGAAAAAAATTGCTTAAACTTTCATTATGATTTTTAATTACATATCAACGATTAAGCTGTTTGTTTTTATTTCAAAAATAAGACTTAATGACTCCTCAGAAGGGATCTGAATAATAATATTTAAACGCGAGGATTTTGCATCATTTGACGACAGCTGAATCTACGACTTTAGGTGTAATGTATGCTTACCATTACATGGGCTGTTCTCAAATCGAATAACAGCAATAAATACCCACACATTATTTCTCTCTACATATATACACTTCTTTTTCTGTCCAGAGAGTATCGGTTGGAAAAAAAAAGAATTGTTTGTTTAAGAAAATAAATTCTATATAAAAAATAATCCAATGTTTGTAGAAAGAAAGAAAGAAAGAAAGAAAAAGAAAAGTATAATCACGGTCGCGTTATAGTTATTACGCGGTTAATGAAACATGACACAGACAAGAAGGACTGTTGTTACTTTAACCACGTAGAAAATAATTAATATTTTAGACGATGCTTAGTTCTGTTTGAAAAGATGGAACACAAATTTCGTATAATATATTTATTTGAACGATGGTGTTAAATGTAGCTGATTCATGTTTAGCGATGATGAGCGTACTCGCTATGGTTTCTCTTTCCTTCGCCCCAGTACATTACTTTTGGACACATTCCTTCTCATCTATTCATTCACATCGTTTTCTGTGCATTTTATTTTATCTTTTTCCTAGGAAAGAATGCTATTTACGATACCGTTCTGTCCTCCTTGTTGTTTCACATATAAGTGTGCGTGCTCGATTCATGAAGGAAAATGTTTTTTCAGAATTACTCTCTGAGCCTGTGCAGGCAGACTCACATACTATTTGATACATTCAGCCGTCAGTTCGGTTGTCAGCAAAAATATTTTTTCGATCGTTCTGTTTCGTTCCTATGAAAAAAAAAATCAAATACGTTTTCGTCATTTGTTTACCTGTAGTTTCGTTTGCATTACCTGCACCTATTATATTATTTTCTTGCTCGATACAAGGGAAATAATTCAAAATAAGGTGAAGTATTGAGTAAATCCATATTTTACGAAATTTAACAATAAAATAACGCTCGTCGAGGGAGACTCGCATTACCCTCGACTGATTGGGTTATACTTCAGATATAAAACTTGCGCTTCCAAATGATGTCTCGAGAACGATCCTCGTCAATTTCAACCTTTTTCAAAACTAGCCAAAGAACTGTCATCGTTCTTGTTATTTATGTAATGTCCATTATTCATGATCATTTTTCACACATGCAACAGCAGTCCGCTAAGAATAGCTACTATGATCCTTGCGTCTTTAAGTAATGCGAAACTCGAAATTTCGACTCAACTATTCAACTATTTTTGCAGTCTTTTTTCAATTATTTGAATATTCGACTGCTTTCAAAACTCTTCTGTTCGTCCTCACTGAAATGATGTCCCTTCAGAACCCTTTTACTCACTCGCAAGTATACGAATACTCGAATAATTGAACGGAAGGGTAGACTGTTGAATTTAAGTTTCAAACTATAGATATTTGGTATTATGACAATCTATGATTGTATACTTTTCCTCTTCT